ATATATATATATATCTCAAAGGAAAGATAGTTGAGAGGAACATTCTTTGGTCTAATGATATGGCTTAAAGGTCCAGTACTTGAGAGTATTTATGGAGGAAAGTTTACCCACTGTGTTTTAGAGCAATCATCAGAAGCTACAAGAAGATAGAGTTCAACTTGGAATAGGAAGAACTTTCTAGTAATTACGTACCTCACAAAGAAGTAGTTCCCTGTAAATAACACGGAAGCAAAGGCTAGAAACTGTCTCGGTATTATAAATAAGCTTCTACATCAGGTGCGAGAGTGAGCAGATGGCTTTCCAGGGTCTCTTATTTTTGTACATTTATTTATAACTACTTCTTCCAAAAAGCATTAAAGCCTTTGTATATGGTCTTTTCTGATTCTGAGCACATAGTTTAGCAACTGTGGGTGAAGTAGCTTTTTTACCCTTTTTTTTTTTTTCCTTGAGACAGGGTCTCAGTATGTAGTGTAGTTCAGGCTGGTGTTGAACTCACTGTGTAGCCAAGGCTGGTTTCATACTCCTTGTCCTTTTGCCTCAGCCTCCAGGTACTGAGATGACAGGCATAGGACACCACTCCCAGCCCCTGAAGTGGCCTTTTGTAGTTGGCTCAAGCGTTGTACTACAAGTAGTCAGGCTGGTTGCAGATAACCTACAGGTTGGACAAACCAAAGCTGCAGACACCTCCTAGTCCCAGTTTACTCAGTCACTAAGTTTTGATTCCAGAGAATCGGCTTGGGATCATAAATTAGGGTGACTAATATTGTTAGGGCAATGTAACAGAATATACATACAGCTTTGTTCCTAGTCTAGTTCAAGGTAACTTGCTGACAGGTTGCATCCCGATTAATTTTTTCTATTTCATATTAGTTAGTGAAGCCTACAGAGAAATGCTGACTGCAGACAATCTTGATATTGACAACATGAGACACAAAATTCGAGACTATTCCTTATCAGGGGCCTACCGAAAGATCATTATTCGTCCTCAGAATGTCAGCTGGTGAGTATAGTCTAGAAGGAAACAACTGAATTACTATGTGAGCTTTTCAGGTTTTGCTTTACATATGTATTTCTTAGTGCTTGGAATGCGGCATCTAAGTATTTCATAAGTGTTAACTGTTCTTGCTACTGTTATCACTGCTGCTCTCCGTTGCTGTTTTTCAAGTCCTCAAGAGATACGTGAAGCTGTGTGTTGAGTGCAGTCGTACAGTGAAAGTGATTTATGTACATTTGTTGAACATCACTAAATTATTGAAGAAATGCATAGAGTATGAACTTTTCCTCCTATTTCTAAAAAAAACTAAAATTTGCTAATAGAGCTCTCCCCAGTAAAATACTCAGAATGTAAGTTCTAAATACTGATCTGGTTGTTTTAATACCATGTTTCTAGAGAGAAAAGGATACTTGTATTAATTGATTTTAAAATACCTTAATACTAGTATTACCTAAACCTTTACTTGATAATTTAAAAACGAAATTCTAAACTACTTGCCCAGTACCAGGAAATTCTTTTTCTTTCCTTCTCTCCCTCTTGTCTCCCTTTCTTCTGTTAGTGCGCACAAAGTTGGCAGAGTTGAGTTTCACCTTTCTCACTCCAGAACAGTTCCTCACTAGTGCACTAGTAAAAGTGGTTGTGGTAGTCGTGACCACTCTAGAGAAACTGGAAGTGACTGATTTGATGACATCTGTACAAAGTGAGGTTTACTATTCACCAGCGTCATGTAAGAATGATTTCCATCCTAGGGAAACATTTTCTGTCATTTCCGTAGGCCAACATCATCTGTCATGTACGATGTAGTAATATAAAGGCACAAGGAAGTTATATGTAAAATGTGGCCCTATTCTGCTGCTAGAGTGAACCCACTTAGAAGTATTTACAGTAGGCCCATGTGTTTTCTTGGGAAACAAATGATGATGAGAAATTCAGTACCATTATGAAAGTTCACACTCAGACTTAGCTTTATATGTTTTGAAGGGAAGTCGTTGCTTATGATGACCCTAAAATTCCACTTTTCAACACTGACGTGGACAACCTAGAAGGGAAACCACCTCCAGTTTTTGCTTCTGGTAAGTTCACTCAGTCTCTAGCTCTGTGTCAACTTTGAAATGTTTTCTCATATGAAAATGTAATGTTTTGGGGAAACTGCTCTTACAGTCATAATCACCACCCACCCACTCCATAATTTCTGTTTCATGTTTTGTCACCTTGGCTTCATGATCACAGCTAGAGATCACTCCAACAGTCACTCCCACTGAAGATGAGTTACAGATGGGGTGACGTTAGGTGACTGCGTCTTTCCTCCCTGTCCTCGTACTGAGAGACAATAAGGAAGAAGCCTGAAAAACGGAATTGCTTTCTCATTGTCAATTTTTTGTTTTCTTTTTCTTCCTTTCTTCCTTCCTTCCTTCCTTCCTTTCTTCCCTCCTTCCTTCTCTTCGTTTCTTAAAGGTAGCAGTTTTACATTTATTAAATGTAGGGAAAAAAACATGCGAGTGAGTGCACGCCAATTAAAAGTAGCACTGCCCCTCTCCTTGGTCCTTTCCTTTCCACTCCAGCGAGTGCACTGTTGAAGTGCACTGTCAAGGATGAGAGCAGACCACTGTGAAAAAGAACATGTATCTGGTGTGGTGGTGCACACTGTAATCCGAGCACTCCAGAGGCTGAGGCAGGAGGATCACTGTGAGTTCAAGTCCAGCCTGCACTACATAGTGAGACCTTGTCTCAAAAAAAAAAAAAAAAAACCCCAAAAAAGAAAGAGAACATGTGGCATTGTCATTTGTTTTTGTCATCACCATCCCTCATGTCCCCTCCCCCATGCCCTATCTTGTTTTAAATTCATGTGCATTTCTCTCCTGTGCTCTTCTGTTGTCTGCCTTTGCATGAAGCCTCCTGGGAATTCCTGCATCTGGCAGGCACTGACAGGCTCTAACTTCCACAGTGCCATTCTCTGAGGCCCAGGGAGGTAAAAGCTAAAGGAGAGGACACGGCCCTTTGTGTTTCTCTAGAGATTCTGTGACTTCTGCTGTGTATGTGGCTACCTTCATTTTCTGACTGTTGTCTTCTTTCCTGCCTGGCAGAAGGCAAATACAGGGCTCTGAAAATGGATTTTTCGCTTCCTCCTTCTACTTACGCTACCATGGCCATTCGAGAAGTGCTAAAAATGGACACCAGTATCAAGAACCAGACACAGCTGAACACAACCTGGCTCCGCTGAGAAATGTTTGCTTCACGTGCAGACGAGTATTTGCTTCCTCTTAAGGCATAGCATCCATGTATGGATTTGAATCTTTATAGTAAAGGATTATTTGTATTTTTTTAAGTCTTTTTAGCTTAAGGAAATAATTTGCAATGTTTGTAGATACGCACAAATCCTGAGGATCCTAATTTTAGCTCAGAGAATATAAATTGGTCAGAATGTACTTTAGGTGCTTAAATCATAGTCAAGATATCAGTTTTACAGACTTTATAATACTAAAAAAGGACTTTGGTTTGAAAGTATCAAATAGCAATTTTAGGTTGTACTGAATATTTGAAGGACAGGAATTCTTAACACATCATGAATGGAGTACACAGCAAGCATTTTAAGAGAAAATGCAACAAAAAATCTTGATTATGGATAAATAATTTTGAGAGTCCCCAGTTACAAATATAAATATAGTACTCATGCTGATTCAAATGACAGTAAAAGGCGTATAGGTTTATAATTACAAGTGATTGTCAGCTGGGTGTGGTGGTACATACCTACAACCCTAGCACTCTAGGAGACTGAGGCAAGAGGATCACAAGTTCAAGCCCAGCTTGGGTAGCTTGGTGACTTAGTGAGACCCTGTCTCAAAAACTTTTTTTTCTTTTTAAAGACAAGATCTCTGTAATTCAGGCTGCCCTTGAATTCACTATGTAGCCCAGGTTGGCCATGAACGTGGCCATCCCCCTGCCTTAGCCTTTCAAGCCCTGGGATTACAGGCATGCGCTACCATGCCTGGAATTCAAAATAAAAACTTTAAAGAGAGCTGAGATGTAGCTCAGTGTGAAGGCCCTGGGTTTCAGTCCCCAGTATCACCACCAAAAAATAAGGATGACAGTCATTATGCAGTTCATGTACCAGATTCAGGTAAGCATTTACATGTTTTTTAGTTAGCAGTTGCTTTTGCATTTATATTCTCAATGCCTTGCGAGAGAGCTGCACTGATGGGGCCTCTTCGTGTAAACATGTAGCTCTTTTTATTGGTTAAGGTCTAATGTTTACTGTAGGTGCCTTTTATGTTTGGAACTATTTCCACTGGACTGGTATTTGCCCTAAAATAAATAATGGCAGAGAAGACTTTCAAATGTCCACATCACGGGTTATAGCTCAGCGGCACAGCACCTGCCTGGCAAGCATAAGGTCCTGAGTGCGATTCCTGGTACCATAAATAAATAAATAAGATGTACATATCATGTACCCTTTGCCACCCACTGCTTAGGTGTCTGTCAGCATTGTATACTAGGTGTCTCTGATGTGAAAGCATAATTCTGCCTTCCAAAGTTGTGCAACATAACTGTACTGATTTTTCTATAATTTCTAAAACCAAATGAAATAAATATTTTTAAAACCTGCTTTCTGTTGATGATGTAAATAAATTTTGAAGCTGAACATAAACAAGAATCTTGTCCATGACCAAAGGGAGGAAGCCAAGTGCACGAAAGAACCTGAGGAATGATGCTGGCACAGGGTGTGTCGTGATGGCGTGTGCAGTCTGCAGGTGACAGAGAAGAGCATCAGACAGCAGGACTGCTGATTCCGGCTGGACTCGGCCCCTCCCGCCGGCCCCTCGCCCTCCAGTGCACTCGCCCTCCAGTGCACTCGCCCTCCAGTGCACACGCTGGAAAGGAAAGGACCACGGAGAGGGGCAGTGCTCTGTGGAGTGTGAATGACATTTGTCCTGCATCTGGCAGCAGATACAAGAGTGAGAACACAGTTCCTCGACCCTTTTCCTCTGAGCACTCCACCACCCTGCTGAGCTGGACTGGAAGTACCATGACAGATTATTTTTTATCTGGCTTGAAAACCAAATTTATTACATGGATAGTGACCCTATATGTACTGTGCAGTAATAGCCAGTTCTTCATCAGATTGACTAATGAAGATTACTTATAGGGGACTTAAGTCTTTCTATTGCAAGTGTATTTTGTAGTTCTGCATTTATAAATTTACATTTTTATAAAAAGTGAGGCTGACATTTTCCTCTGGAGAATATGGTGCCATGTGATGCATTCATTTTCCTGGCTGCATTAGCCAGTTGCCAGTCTATACATGCCCCTGCCCCTGCCCCTACCCAGTAATGGGGATCGAAACTAGGGAGTGCTGAGCAACACCCCATCCTCTCACCCCTTTTTAAAATCTTCATACAGGGTCTCACTAAGTTGCCCAAGTTGGCCTCAAGTTTGTGATCCTCCTGCCTCAGCTTTCCAGGTGGCAGGAATTACTGACATGCACACCTATACCTGGCATCATACCTTATTAAACACCAGTGGAAAAATAATGATTCAAGGCAAACTCTTAAGCTACTTTGAGACTTGAGAACATACTAACTGTAGGACCTTAGTGTGGAATATAAATCACTTCAGGACAGAAATCAAGATACTCATTGCGGCTTGTTTTTGGCTTTTTGAGACAGGGTCTCACTATGGACATGTGTTGCTGAAGTGAGCATGGGGTCCCACTGTGTTCCAGGCTGGCCCAAACTCAGCAAACCTTTGCCTCCCCACTGCAGGGATTGTGGGTGTGCACCACCACGCCCTGCTAGGATGTTTTCATTGTTAACGTGGAAGAAGTTTCTCTGTGGCAAATTTACAAAACTGGTAGCCAACTTGATCCTCAACGTAGAAGTATTTTTATTATGTCCTAAATTTTTGCCTAAAATGATAACTACTGTTTTTAGTATGATGTAAACCCAGCATTTTTCCTAATAGAAAAATAAGGCAAGTATCAAGATCATGCTCTGAAATGCTTATATTCATGGTTTTATGTTACAGATAATAACTGAAATACATAAAACCTGGTTGGTCCTGGGATCATCATGGTTTCGTGTTACAATAACTAGTCAACCACTATACTGGTTTTCTAAAAAAAAAAAATTGTAGCCTGGCGTGGTTACACACACATGTAGTCTCAGGAGGCTGACACAGGAGGATCACATTAACTCAGTTCGAGGCCAACCTGGGCAACATAGTAAGACTTCAATTTTTTTCTGGTACCAAGAATTGAACTCAGGACCTTGCATTTGCCAGGCAGGCACTTATGCCACTGAGCTATATCCCTGGCCTGACTTCAATATTTTAAAAAAAAAATCTGATTCCTAAATCAACCAATATACTGGTAGTAGCTACAGTGATACATCAAGTAGTTGGAATTGTACCAGTTGTTTCAGGCAATACAAATTAATACAAACTAGGACTTGCACTGGAATACATTTTGCACTAGAAGGGGAGCGGGGAATGCAAAATAAAATATGTCTAAATGGTATTAATCCCCGCTGATGCTGATGTATATATCCTCTTTTGAAACAAAAATATTAGGACAATGAAGTAAAAGCCCAGTGGAAGAATTAAAAAGCTGTCTGACCAGGTTCTGGCCTTGGTAGGTTGAGAAGCATTTGCTTGCATAGCAAAGGACAAGGCTCTTCTTTGTTCAGTGAAATGTGCTTTCTCACTTTGTGGGGCTGCATTCCAATAGGATGGAACATCTTGATGGTGGACCACTAGTGCTGTGGAAGGGCTTAGGGAAAAGAAGGACGCTATCTCCAGAGGAGCAAAAGGGAAGACTGTATACACACAGCACACAATCACAAGCTTGCAGTGTGTGCACAGAAGGTCCCCTCCAGATAGATGCTTTCCAAACTCGTAACCCACTGGCCTCCTCTTAAAGTGCAGAGTATGTTTCCAGAAGTGGAAAAACATCTCTGCCAGCCCCTGGAGTGTGGGCGAGCTGCCGCAGGTCTGCACTGGCCTGCAGGCAGGAGCAGCACTCTAGCCTTGGCCACGCGATGCCAAGCTGGAGTTCCCAAAGGGGACTGTAAGATTCAGCTCCTCAGTAGCCACATTGCAGCTGCTTCGCAACCACACATGGCTAGCAGTCTGTCGTCGGTGGCACTGGCCTGATAAATAATTTATCCAAGGTACAGAGGAGTCCACATGCATCGGGTGTGACCACTGGTGCTGCTAATAACTACATGTTACACTATGTGTAGGCGGCCTAGCTTGTAATTAGAGAGCTCACACTGATTCAGAATTCCACACTTGAAATAGACCCCTCTTAATGAGTTCATTGTTTTTTGCGGTGCAATGTACAGGTCCTCACACATGCTAGGCTAGCACTGTATGGCCATCCCAGCACTCTTCCTAAAACTCACTTCTATGCTTTTTCTGTCTTTCTCGGGGATCATCTATCGTCTCTTTCTCTCCACCTTTGCTTCACTTCAGTGTCTTTATCATATGGGAGGGTAGCAGGGTATGCAGCTCAGTGGCAGAGCACTTGCCCAGCAGGGCAGGTCTTGGATTCAATCCCTGGTACTATGAAAGGGAAACAAGAATGGTAGTCAGAGACTAATTTGTTCAGTGAGGATACAGTGTGAGCTTTATGTTTCAGCTTTTCCACCTCTGCTAAGGACTTCTGGAAACTAAAAGGATATGACTGGAAAACTATCATGGGAGGTTTCTCAGAGTCTGTCTCTCCTACTGCGTATTTATGGTCCCCTCAGAAGCTTGTGTTTTCTAGAGCAAGGTGGGTTGTGTACAGTGACTCCACAGGGAACACATCCAACACCCATCAGTAGTGACCTATAGATAACATGGTTTTTTTATATACAGAGACACGTAAGATTTACAGCAATAACTAGTAATAAAAGTTACATAAACGTGGTCTCTCCCCTACCCCGCTACTTCACTAAAATTTCAGACCATGGTTGACTACAGGTGCCCAAAATGGTGGAAAGCAAAATCAAAGAGAAGCCAGGGACTACTACTGGTAACTGAAAATCTTCTGGTAGCCACATTAAGAAAATGAAAAGAGAAAGGGGCAGGGGAGAAACAGGTGAAATTTAATTTCGTATTTAAACAAATGTAAACTATTTCAACATATGGTTAGGGTTTTAAAAAACCATTTGAGGCCCAGGGTGTAGCTCAGTGGTAGAGCACTTGCCTAGCAGGCCTGCAGCCCTGGGTTCAATTCTCAGGACCACCAAAAAGAATAATAATCATTCTAATTCCATATATATATAAACTGACCACGGCCAGGTATGGTGGTGCACATGTGTAATTGTAGCACTGTGTGACGTGAGGCAGGAGGGATCACTACAAATTCAAGGCCAGCCTGGGCTACATAGCAAGACCCTGTCTCCAAAGACCAAAAACTTTAAAAACTGAAGTTGAGTGTGGTGGCCCACGGCTATAATCCCAACACTCTGAGAACCTGAGGGAAGAGAATCACAAATTTAAGCCCAACTGAGCAACTTAGCAACCTAGTGAGACCGTGTCTCAAAGCAAGTGCTGAGGATGTAGCTGTGTGTGAAAACCCTGGTACAATCCCAGTCCTGAAAAAAAAATTTACATTCTTTTTTATTATACTAAGTCCTCCAAATCTAATGGGCATTTTCCACTTAAAAGTATGTCTCCATTTTGGGTTGTGGCTTTGGGATCTTCACAGTCCTGGGCGTCAAACCCAAGGCTTCGTGCACAGGAGGCAAGTGCTCTACCACTGAGCTATGCCCTGCCCATGGAGCGCCATCTGGCCTGGCCATATTTCCATGCCCAATAG